GAGGGCAACGTTAGTTGCAATATTCTGATTAATGGGTTGTGCTTGAATGGACTGGTGAGCGACGCTGTTAGTAAATTTGAAGAGATGGCGAGCAAAGGGATCGAGAGGGATGTTATTACGTATAACACGTTGATACAAGGATTGTGCAAGGTTGGGAGGATAAATGAAGCTATGGGGTTTTATCATAAGTTGCTAGAGGTAGGGTTGAAGCCGAGCGTGTCAACCTACACGCCGCTCATTGTGTCGTTTTGCAATGAGGGTAATGTGGATGAAGCTGTGGAGCTTGTGAAGAAGATGAAGGATAGAGGAATTGAGCCTTTGGTATGTACGAATGATTGCATTATAACTGCATTGTGTAAGAAGGGCAAGGTTGAAGAGGGACTGTCTTGGTTGGTTGAGATGCTGAAGAGGAATTTGAGACCGAGGTTAGAGACATTTAATAGATTGGTAGAGTATTTGAGTTTGGCGGGGAGAGTGGATGATGTGCTGCCTGTACTAAATGCAATGTTTGAGATTGGTTGTTTGCTTGAAAGATCAGTTAGTAGTTTGCTTGTTGAGAAACTGTGCAGTAGCGATGGTAGATTGCAAGGTGAAGAACTTTTGGATGAGATCTTGCTGATTGATAAGTTGAATGTTTGAACTGTTGTATCAGTTTATTCTTTTTTGCGAGGGATTGGATAGTCATCTGACGTCTGGACTTGTTGGATCAAGAAAGATAATAAGATGCAAAGGTGAGGAAACATATTTATTTGTATTGAAAAGAGTTCATACTTCATAATTTATATGCATAGCTGCCATTTGAATCTTAGTGTTCAGGGTCCAACCTGTGCCTTATCACTTGCAGACCTGGATTTATTTTGCAGTGAGTGCGAATAATGTGTTTGATTACCTCGTCCTTTGTAAGTTAAAGAGTAATCCAAGCTAAACATTCCCACCTATATTTGCACTGAGTACGAATAGATATATTAAACTCCAGCCTGTGGACTGTAGCTCTAAGATCATCAGTTCTGACAAAGTCATGATATATAACCTTAAACTGAAACTTGATCTCACACCCCCGTGTATTTTGCTGTTCAGACCTACAACCACTGAATTGATGGAAACTTTGTTTGGTACTATATTTGAGAGACAATACTAGGATTTTGCATTGTTGGTCTCAAAGTTATACAATTAAACTTTTTTTGATAAGCAAATGCATCTATGTTTAATAAGGACACTTAATATATTCTTTGTTCAAGTTGAAGCATTGGTGATTATTGCTGCCAATAATCCTTCTGCTATGTTTGTAATTTTGTATACATATATTTCTTGTAAATTTCTCTGTCAGAACAGAATTGATTTTTGATGCTCTAAAATTTGCAAATACGTTTGATCCATTGGTTTGGACCAAAGTCAGCGAAGTCATATTCAATTGGGTTTTTAAACTAAACCACCACAAAATATAGTGGCTCTTTGGAAAACCACCATAATTTTTTTATATTCATAGAACCACCACAAAATATAGTGGTCTTTTGGAAACCCACTATAAATTTTTTTATTTTCATAGAACCACATGAAAATATGCATCCATAACAAAGTGCTACCAAATTATAGTTTTGCATCTATATCATGTTAAACTAAATAATATACTAAATCCCTAAAATTCTCTCATGGTGAGACCCACCAATCTATTATTATATTTTCTCAAACCAAGAAAATACCTGAGCGCCATTGATGAGCCAAATGGTTGGGAGGTTCCAATATGGCCCCCCACTATCTTGGGTTCGATTTCTCTTTATTAAAGAAAACAAAACAAAAACAAAAACAAAAAACAAAAAAAATCAAAAAACAAAAACAAGACACCTTATTTCCCTGTAAAACATTGTTAACTCACTGAACAAAGTTTTAATTCCCTCCAAATACCCCCATGTATCCTCTCTAAAATTTTGACATAATGGGCATTTATGTCATTTTATACTATTTATTTAACAAAATACTGATGTAAATTATGATTTGGTGGGACTTTGTGAAAAATTCATATTTTCATGATGGTTCTATGAAAATAAAGTTTTTGTGGTAGTTTTCTGAAAAAACAGTATTTTTGTGGTGATTCTATGAAAATAAAAAAAATTATGGCAGTTCTCTGAAAAACCACTGTATTTAGTGGTGGTTTTGTATAAAAAAAACCCTATTTAGTTCATAGTTATCGGCGTATTTTTCAGCTCCCTTCCTCGCCAGAGCCCGACACCAAGGTAGACTCTCATATTAGGTCATAAATCCAGTACATATTTTTACTTGGATGGGTTAGAAAACTGTCCGAGCGTTGGACAATTAAATAACAACATGTGCAAAAAATGGGTGTAGCAAAAATGAGAATGTTTCGATAGTCTAGTGGGTATATATTAAAAGATAAGAAAAGAAATGAGTGCATCCGTGGTAAATTAGAGGTTGCTCCTATTGAGGACTAAATAAGAGATAATAGATTAAGACGGTTTGGTCATATGTACAAACGGAGAACTCTTAGTGCACCGGTTAGGAACAACAATAATATTATAGTTAACGGGCTAGGAGATCTAGAGGTAAACCCAAAATAACTTGGTTGGAAGTAGTAACGAAGGATATGATTGTGACTAACTTAACGGATGTGATAGCCTATAACAACATGGAATGGAAGAATATGATTCATATAACCGACCCCAAATATTTGGGATAAAGGCTTTGTTGTTGTTGTTGTATCGGTTAGAAAACTGCTGTGGAGAGGAAATTAGTGTAGTAAAAACTAGTTCTAAAGAAGTTCTAGAAATTAGAGGAACAGGGGACTGTATTTATTATACTTCAACAAGGAAACAAGGATTAATTAGCTGTATTTATTATAATTCAACAAGGATTAATTAACAACAAGGGCACCAAGGATCGAAAGAAGTTGAAGAAAAAATTTCCACTTGTTATGCAGGGCTTTTGAACGTCTACCATGAAGCACAAAGGCTAGGCCAGCTCCCAAGCTATGAGTTGTGTTTGTTGCTTATATTTCAAGAAATCTGTCCCTGGTGGTGAAAACTTTCAATTGTTAGTTCTCCTCCTACAGCTTAGGCCCTTTTCTGAAGCTATAACATATTTCATTCTGAAGTTTGATTGCAAATGCTTGTTCTTGGTTTGGGTTTCTTGAGGTTAGAAATCTAGATTTGATTGCAAACACAATTTACAGTTTGGCGTCCATTGGTTGTTTTGTTTGAGTGGTGTGATTGCTGTTAGTTTTTCTTGTCGATACTACTATAGTTGCGAGTCCTGCGTCTTCCAAAGATCTAGCAGTGTGGCCTACATGATCATGGGATTGGTCGGATGCATTTCGCTTGACATAAAGATATCTTTTCGCGGTAATAAGATTTGAAGTAACACTGAATGTGCTTCCACAATGAGCTTTACGTGACAAATTCTCTTGCTGTTGATCTCGGTGAGCAGTACTTAAGCTGGTAGGGCTATTTCAACTCTACCTTTTCCTTCCAGTCTCCCTTTTATGTTTCAGATATAACTAAGCTGAGATCAGATGCAGTAGAGGAGCTCGGCTACTTAGACGAAAACTATTTGCTTTCCACTCCGATGATGTTCTCACTTCATTCGTGCACGCATAAGGGCATATCGCCAAAGTTGTTTTCGCATTGTACAGGCATTGTGGAAACCACAAGGTGAGATTGTGCAGATACTTGATCTAATGGGCAATTTAACTGAAAACATCACAATTATTCATTATTTCATCAATATCGACACGGCATACTGAAAATTGAAAATGGCAATTATGGAAGAGGCTTGATATTATGATCGATTATGATTTTGCGAGCACAAAAGCAACTTGCTACCTGGAAGAATATACACAAAAGTGTTTTGTAAGGGGTTCCATTTTCTTGCTGACAGCCTGGGTTTTTTTTTTATCCTCCTTGAACGAAGCAGGAATTTCAAAACCCAATTCTCTACTTCATACCTCCATAATTATTTCCTTAATCTCTGCTCGGTATGGTTATCTCCACCTAATCCCT